AACAAAAAAAAAAAAAAAAAAAAAAAAAAAAAAAAAAGGAAGAACAGTACTTGAGACAAAAATACACAAGAAGTGAAACTAACACTTTTGGAACCTGTGAAAATGCTCCCAAAACTAAACACTTGGGACACGTGGATGAGTTTGGTCCACGACAAGAGTTTTCATTCCATACTGACACACAGAGATGACAAATGGGGAGGGTGGGATGAGACCTGGTGGTTAGTGGTGTACGCGTCTGATGGCGTACGCTGTACGATAACCGCCCTAGCCTCAACCCGCAAACATTTCAAGCGGTGAGAAGCCCATAATAAGACAGGAAGTAGTACACACTATTTAAATCAGGTCGAGGTTCGGAAAGAGAGCAGCGCAGGTGAACCTTCCGAGGTTCCTTAACGGAAGAAGCGAAGTTTCTCCCGGAGCCATTCCTCCGTCAGGTCCTCCGTGTTCCGGATCTCAAACACCTGCGGCGGCAGAGATTGAAATTCAGGTTTGAAATGTATGTCTGACAAAAATGAGCAGATGGTGAGCAAGTTTTCAAAAGCTCACTAGCTTAATGCTAACACACAATGGAAACGGCCATTGACGGGCTAACAAAACTTATGTCAGTGCACATTAGCAACATTTGAGCGACGGATATTTCAATGGTGCAGGAGCACAAGTAGACAATGGAAAACATACTCAAATGCATTTATTCTTTACCCTTTGCGAAAAAATGTTTACTACTGCAGCTTACTGAGTCACAATAGTTGTGAAATTTGGCGTGTCGGTATTATGCTGCCCCCTGGTGGCCAAGAGGAGGCCACAGAAGGAGGCACAATGTAAAGAGAAGCATAAAATCATGATGCGCCAACACGTGAATGGCTCAATGTTGTTAGTCGATGTTGGCATGATGTTTTGATTGTAGAAAACGGGAGAGAGGGAAGAAAAAAAAAGCTTGAAAAATTAAGAGCTTTAAAATGACACAAAACGTATTATTGGTTTGTTGGCGGATGTTGGCTGGTTAAAACATTTTATTTAAAAATGTCGGATGTGACTGTAGGAGAATGTTAGGAGGATTAAAAAACAAAACACGATTTCAAACCAATGCCAGTACGATTATTCACACTTACTAGTATGCACAGATAACTCTAGTACGTTTCATACATACAATTTTATTCAACACAATACCCCCCCCACCCAAAAAAAAAAAGTGCACAAAGACCTTTCTTCCTGACACAGATGATGATTCACCGATATGTTTAACTGCCGCAGTACAGCGTTAACTACTACCACTTACGCAATGTCAGATTTATTTATTTTTTGGCCTCAAGTATCGGTGGCCGGTATCGGCAGACTCCAGGACTACATAATACCTAAAAATAAGGCTAACATTGCTCCGATATGATACCCGGTATCGGTATTCGACCATGACTTGTAGCAATGTTCACAAACCTTGGTCAGTTGGGCAGTATGCACCAGCTTGTTTTTACTACCTGCGTACATCATCTGCTGCTCCGGTTTGCAACCTGCGCCAAAACGCAGACACGGAACATTGCGGTGAGCACGGACAGATATTGACGCTCTTCAAGCGTCAGGCAATTTGCGTACGTACCCACGGGGCTGATGAAAATAAAGCAAAGAGGATAGGACACGCGGCCGTCATCGTGTTGGTATCTGTAACTGTACACCACAAATCGGGGCTGCCTCTCCGGGAGCTCTTCTTTCAGGTCGTCAGGAGAAATGTCCTGGAAAACAAAACAACAACAAATGACGAAACATGAACGGGTTCATAGAGTGAACGGGTCAAAAATTCGACGTACCTCGTGTTCTTCATCCAAGATCACGAGCTGCCTGTCTTTATCGATCTTCACTGGGGGGGGGGATTTTAAAGGAGCATCATCCATGATGAGCGAATAAAGGGGAGATTTTAAAGGAGCATCATCCATGATGAGCGAATAAACAATACAAGAACTTTAGGCATCGTTTGCACGTTAAAACTGTACTTAAATGCAGGACAGCGGTCACTGACTTTTTTTTTTTTTTTTTTTTTAAGCTGACAGCTATTTCTTGGTGAGCCAGCCTGCTCTCTATTCCCCGAAAATGGTGAAAAGCCGGATGTAATCGACACCCATTAAAATGCATTTGGGGAAATAAAGTTTTAGAGGGGGCACGGTGGTCGACTGTTTAGCGCGTCGGACTCGCAGTGCAGAGAGCAGAGGTGCAGGGTTCAATTCCAGCTCCGACCTTCCTGTGTGGAGTTTGCATGCTCTCCCTCTGCCTGTTTGGGTTTTCTCCGGGTACTCCGGTTTCCTCCCACATTCCAAAAACATGCATGGCAGGTTAATGGAACACTCCAAACTGTCCCTAGGTGTGAGAGTGAGCGCGGGTGGTTGTTCGTCTATGTGTGCCCTGCGATTGGCTGGCAACCGGTTCAGGGTGTTGTCCCCCGGCTATCGCCCGAAGATGGCTGAGAGAGGCTCCAGCAGGCCCCGCGACCCCTGTGAGGATAAAAATCAGCATCGGCTTAAAAATAAATCAATTTCGGTTCGGCGCGACAAATTTATAGTAAGGGTGCACCAAAAGACAACACTTTTTCAAATTGACGTCAACTCCATTTGATTCCAGATTGAAAGCGTCTTCCTTCATTTCGCCAAACCCAGCGGGAAGCGGCGACCAATCTTCCCAGCGGGTGTGCTGTGTAAATAAGAACGCCCACCAGCACAAGCACTGGCTTACGGCTTAAAGGCTGTGAGTGACCCAATTCTGGGAAACTGTCAAGGATTTTGACTGATGAAACTGAACGATTCATGAGAAGTCCGTGTGTGCCGAATCTTTAGGAAAACATCAAGTAAAAATGTGAAAGGAAGGAACTGTGAACCGATACTCACTGACGATGGCCGCATTGTTGGTCTCCTTGCGGAGACGAAACTTCTTCAACTTCTGGACCAGATCTTCATCCACATCACACACTGTCAGGGACTCACTCTAATGAAAAAAAAAAAGAAATGACCACCAACTAAGCAATAAACAAATCACCAATAGTCTAGTTTTGACTGTCAATAAATGTTCTTTCTTTAAGAAAAAAAAAAAATTGGAAAAAAACGTCAAAGAGTTAACACCACTCCCGCTACAGCTTTCTCAAAAAAGTTTCTTACTGTACATGTAAGGAAAGGGGATCTCTGCAAAAGATTGCACATTAATCTACGGAACCGTCTTTTTTTTTTTTTTTTGAGTATAAAAAACAAACAAACAAACAAACACAAATATGTTAATGTCTATTATCTTCAAACATAATGTAATCGAAACAAATTGCTGAATTCATTTCACAGGGTCTTAAAGGAAACTTTTTAGGTCACCTACTAGGCACTTAGTTTCATTGCCTTTAAGCAGCTAAGAAATTTATCCAGACAGTTGCACGGCACTACTTGCTGAAGGCTTCCCGATCTGACCCACAGCTGAAAACAAACAAAAATAATAATAATACCCTGTTGGTTCAACAAGATTTGAATGCGCTGCACCTCTGTGTTACCTCCTCATCACATTACATAACTCCACAGTATGTAGATATGCGCTCCTTCAAAGTCTTCAGTCTGTATAATGACAGCGTCCTCAACAGATGGCCCGAAAGGGAGGCGGGATTTCTCTGAGCTTTAAGAAGATCCTCGGAGATTTGGCAGACTTTCAGCGCAAGTGACACAATAGGAAATGCAGTTAGATAAGAAGACAAAGAATGAGGAACCACAAATGACATTTGTGACACCAGTGCTACTTTCTGCTATGGTATTTTATTTCTGACCAGGTAGATAGCTAGTTGGCTCATTTGACATGTCTTGACGGGTAACTCCCTTTCATTGTAGAGACACGCAGTCAAAAGCAGCCAAGTATGAAAAAACATGAAGAGGAGGAGGCAAACTGGTGGAAGAACAGCTTGCAGAACCTGGTGCGTTTTGAAATATTATTTGCAGTGCATCCGCAGTCGCAAGTTCCCCCACATAAACCAGAACCTGGCTACATTCGCCTTCAGAATAAGATAAAGAACACCATCAATGATTCAATATCTGACTTTGCTTTCATAACAACTTCAAATATTTTCTTATTTTCAAAATAAAACCACGGGTGACATGGGGAACAATTGTGGCCACAATATATAGTGTGGGCACACAATGCTAATTTGTGAACACAATTCAGTGAATTTAGGCTATTCCTAGAGTACCAAGCCCTGCTACAAATAATGAAAATATACAACGATTTACTTAGAGTTGTACATTGATTCCACAAAATAGCGGAAAAACATTAAAAAAAGGGGAATATCATGAAACAGCAATGACATGAATCTAGCATGTACACAATGATGACCTATGTTACATACGCAACAAAAACAAACCCCCTTCACGTGAGGCTCATTAACTAGCACACTAGCAAAAATAACACGCAAGCACGATATGGCATGACTTTCAATTTTTCAATTTCGAAGGTTCACTAAAAGTACTAATTTCTCTATTAATGAGTCGCAATTTCACTGAGCTTCTTAACTTTGTGAAGTAACCTCAGAGCAGAAACGAGGTGATGTTAGCTACGCTAGTCAGCTTGTTATCTGACATAATACATAAAATCCAAATTGGTCAGTTAACCATTACTTTTACTTTGACACCCAAAACCGGAAACCAGTTGTTAATTCAAATCGCTCTTGACACTAGAGGGTGGAACTCATGCTAAAGCTACCAAGCTAACGCTAGCCAGCCAACGGTTTTACTTTTCTTCCTGCAGCCGCACCTCCAAAACTTTACGTTCGTCAACAACACCAAACGAAAACCCACAAGCGAACGTGATGTCAACTCTCTCCCCGACATAAACGAAACACTCACCATTGTTTCCGGAGTTCGAAGCTCGTAGACACGGAAGGCTTCTGCTCGGAATGGAAGATACGCGTTCAATGTTTTTTGTTTTTTTAAACTTCACAGTTTGTGACGGATTTGGCCAATCCGGAACAAGAGATCCTCCTTCTCAACTTCATCCATCGTCACTGACCGCTGTCTTAAATAAATCTATTAATGAAAGTTTTGAATTTCTAAATATGAACAACAGAAAGAGCAACTCGATCGGCGACATGAACTGTGGGAATAATTATACAGTACTTGGATATCATCTGATAAAAATACGCCATTTGAATCGATATCTTCCACTGTATATCTTTTTAAGATTCGAAAACAATTGTCATGATTAAAATTAAACTTAATTTGGTGATCGTAACAAAATACAAAACCAGTGTATGTACATATATATTTTAAACATGTTTACATTCAATCTTAATAGGATGACCAGCGTTTTGAAGAAGGTATTTCTCTACATTTTCCCAGATCCTGACACCAAAGAGGCTATCACAGAAAGATTTTTTGAACTAATATTCGATTTTACAATCCAATAACTTTTCTTTTCTCGATAAAACATACGAGAACAAACATAAGAAACACAAACAATCAGACATTCCAGTTCAATTACACATCATAAACAAAGATGACACATTAACAAAGGAACATTTAAGTACATACATAGACAAATTATTGACAGAGTACAAACAAACAATTAAGAGTATATGTCAAAAATATTTTTACATTTCATGTTCTCTGCAAATCTGAGACTTGACGTATACATATCAATCAAAAATACATGGAGGAAAATAATTTGTCGATGTAAACATGTAATTTCCCAGACAAAATAAAATGACATTACATATTCTTAAATTCTATAACTTTTTATCAGTTCTAAATACAGTATAATGTAATAAAATGAAGAATTTCTGAAAATGTCAATGCCGTGACGTCATCCAATGGGCGCGCCTGCACTTCCTCTTTTAAGAGTTGTGGCAGGCAGGCAAGCAGGCAGCTGCGGCAGCTTGTAGTTAGCTAACTTAGCTAAAGGAGGCTAAATTGGCTGGCTAACTGGCCTTCGCTCCTGGACGACAAGCGACCCACTTTCACTTCTGAAGACTGCACCACCCGACCAGGTTTTTATCGACAATAATCCCATATTCTTTCCTGTCGTCTTCTTATACTGCCAGCGGAGTTAACGAACAAGCGAGTTAGCCTTCGGTCGCTAACAGTTTCGCAGCCACAGTTAGCCCAGTCACCCTGTCAACACTAGTGTAGCAACTTAGCTCGTTTGGCCAAACAAGTAAATAGCCTTTAGCGCGTACGCGGTGACAGCGCTTGATTTGCCTAGCCTAACGTCGGTTCGTTCCACTCGGGCGTCCACCTTCATGGACTTTGTTACTCATTTGTCCAGAATGGAAATGTTTAGTGTGCCATTACTCAGATGTGCTTGTGCCTGTGTGCTTGTGTGTGTGTGTGTGTGTGTGTGTGTGTGTGTGTGTGAGAGAGAGAAAGACACTCCCTCCTGCTTGACAGCTTGTTACCCGGCCCAAAAATACTCACATTCACGCTTGTCTTTGTTTTAGGTCATGTCGGATTTCTCGGTGAGTTTGCCCGTATGCATGGTTTTGTTAAAGTTATTTTTGTAAAATGACACTTGTTAACCCCACCACCACCATCGTAGCTAACAGACGCTTTGGGAGACAGTACCCCAAGCCAGGCCAAACCACAAGGCAACACCAATCCGACAGCACCAGCAAACAACCCTCCGCCTCCTTCCAACCCCGGATGGCCCTCGTCCGCCCCCGGAGCTCCAACTCAGCCCTCAGCCCCTTCCGGTTTCTCCAGTGGCACCGGCCCCGGGGCGCCGGGTCAGTTTCCCTTCCCCTCTGGCCCCGGAGCGCCGGGTCACTACCCGGGGCCTCCTACGGCGCCGGGTGGATTCCCTTCGAATCCCGGGATGCCTGGACAATATCCTCCGGCGCCAGGGGCTCCGGGGCAGTACCCTGCCAGCCCTGGGGCGCCCGGTCAGTTCCCAGGGCACTACCCGCCTGAAGGAGCACCCGGTCAATTACCCGGTGGGCCCGTTCCATACCCAGCTGGACCTTTCCCCTCCGGTCCCGGCGCTCCTCCCGGGTCTTATCCCAACATGCCTCTCCCGGGTAACTACCCACCAGGGGGTAACGGCATGTACGGCCCAGGAGGTCCGGGCAGTTTCCCCCCTTCTGCAGGCCCAGGTGCTTTCCCGGCATTCCCCCCTGGTGGAGGCTTTCCCCCTATTCCCGCTGGCTCTTGGGGACCTGGCGGTGGAGGTTTCCCACCGGCACCGGGCCCCTTCGGTCCCGGTCCAGGCCCAATGGGTCCTTACGACAACCCTGCAGCTCCAGGAGGCATGCTGGTGAGTATAATAAATTGCGTTCAGTCCGTTTGCTTGCTGGCTTGCGGTGGTGTGGAGTAAAGCTTTTGTGGTGACAAACCTTTGGCTTGATGTTTTTCCACCAAGCGGTCTGGTTTAATCCAGTGTAGAAAGGGAAAATCCTTGCACTGTACCGTCTGGTGGAAACGACAACTTTTCCCAATCGGTTTTCGGCCTCACTGGGATGCAGAATTTCCTGACGAGGGCTTGGGCAATAATACGTCAAAGTCTGCTGGGGGCGAGAAGCATCATCACGAAGTCAAATGGGCTTCTTTTTTTTTTTTTTTAATTTATTTTTTGAAAATATCTTCTTGTCTTTCAGCCCAGATTTTATCCGCCAAATAAATGAAAGAGACAAAGGACGTCATCTCCAGAATCGACATGTGGTTTGATGAAAACACGGCGCACGGGGGAATTAAGACTCTGAGCACCAGTGTTATATGAATTCTATACTATGATGGACACATTGAGTACATTGATATTACTGCTTTGCTGCATGCACAAAAATCACTATTTGTATCACTGGCCGCAATTTTTTTTTTTAAGTCGCTACAAATAAAATGTCTCAGTTTTGCTCATTTTTGATGTTTGCTGTGAAGGAAAACACACACTGACTTTGTGGGCTTTTCAGGGATGTTTGTTTGTTTGCTTTTTTGGTGGGGGTGGGTGTGAAGAACATATCATCAGTTCCTCACCCCAAAAAATTCAGTCACAATATTGCCTTAGTGGCACCTTTTGTGCCAGGGAAGTGAGTTGAGGAGTTTCATTTCGACATTAGTCCTTTGCCACCCTCTTGTGGTATCCAAAGGCAATTGCAAACCGTTTTAGGCGGGCAGCGTCAATTAGTCTGCAACAAGTTCAATGGTATGGATGAGGGTTTTCCTGTCAGAGAGTTCATTTTACGTTTCATTTGCCACTTTGAGATGGAATGACTTGAACCATGTTTAGCTCCAAGAGGACGTCTTGTCTTTAAAAGTGGAGTCAACATATTGTGGTGGGCTTCGATATATGAATATGATATTTTTGTTTTTCTTGCAGATGGTGCCATATGATCTCCCACTCCATGCCGGCCTAATGCCACGTCTCGTCATCACCATCGTCGGGGAGCCGGTTCCTGGAGCCAGCAGGTAACTTTGAAATTTGCAGTCACTTTGAAATTTTTGCTGGCCTAGTCAGGCCAGCCTCCAAAGGTTGCTCATGGCTCGAGCCAGCGGCGGACACCGGTCCTGGGTCACCGTTGATGTCGAAGCCTGATTCAGCGCCATTGCGAATGACTCAGTATTGTACCGAATGTTTATTTTGTCCCCCTCTCACGATCCAGGTTCCACGTGGACTTCATGAAGGGCTCAGACGTGATCTTTCACTTCAACCCTCGCTTCCACGAGCAGACCATCGTCAGAAATTCCAGCATTGGAGGCTGTTGGGGGCCTGAGGAAAGGGGCGGAGTTTTCCCCTTTGTTCAAGGCCAACGCTTTGAGGTAAACTCACAAGTAACGGGACTTGAAAGGCAAATCTTGAATGAATTTTCAAAGTAGTTCAGCCCTACGGTGTACCTCACTAACTTTCCGACACACCCTGACGCCCGTTCCTTCTCACAGCTGAAGATCCTGGTCGAGGAGGACGTGTTCAAAGTGGCCGTCGACGGCACCCACCTGCTGGAGTACGAGCACCGCGTGGGCGGCCTGGAGGACGTCACCCTGCTGCGGGTGACGGGCGACGTGGCGCTCTATAGCGTGGCGCCCAACATGATCTGAACGCCACTCACTAGAAGGACGAACTGAATTTGAACGAGGGGGGAAAAAAAAAAATACAAAAAACCCTGAGATATCCTGCGCGCGTCGCACGCCTTTGGAATTTGACACACACTCATTTAGCAGACGCTATTCTTTTGAAATATAATTTATCTCAGTAGAAAGCATAAAAATAATGCTTTGCTGTATACTGACGTTAGAACTGCACTTGTAACATAATAGTATCTAAGGGAGGGAAAAAAAACATGAATGGACCTTTTCAGCATGACGCACCACTACTTGTAAGCAAAAAAAAAAAAAAAAGGCTATATAGATTGATTCTTTTCTATTTCCATAATTTGAAGGCGTGGAGGGTCAGCCGAAAAGATGTTTCGCGAATTAATTTGCCGATCGTAATTTACATTTCAGCAGGTAAGTTGATTGATATAAGAGACGTGGTGGACATTCAGACGTAGTTAACATGAGACCATTGAGGGGCTGGATAATTAAGTCACTTTTCTGTTGCTGGGATTAACGGCCAAGATGCCGGAATTGAGCGTGCCACAAAGCCAACGTTAGCTAACGTTGCTCTATTACGTCTTGCAAATTTCTATGTTGTACTATTTAGGACATCCATCCCTTTGATTATCTTTCTTTCGGGTATATTCGGCGGCTCTACTCCAAACACAACAAGGCTTTGTCTTCGTGCCGGCGCTCAGCCCGAAGTACCCTGGCACCTATGATGGTGTACACACATCGTAAAAAGGTCCATTTCATGCTGTCATCTGTTCCGATGAATTTCACGTTTGTATCGCGTTCCAATGAGAAAAAAAAAGACAAAAGTGAGTAAATTCTGAGTTTTGCATAATTGCGTTCAATGAAAAGCTTTCTCACTGTCTGAGTCCTTTTGTAATGGATAAAACAGGAAGCTGAAGGTGAAACGTGCTATTAAAAGCCATTGTTCTATGATTCAGCTTGGCTCCTTCCAAGTTGCAAAATAACAAATGGTGTGTTTTCCGGCGCCTCGACACGTTGGAAGGAGGATGTTAAGAATGAAGTGGTTTATTGCCAAAGATAACAATGGTACTTTTTTTTTTTTGCCGCAAGATAATGGCAAACACCAAGTGACTGATTTATTCTATTCCCCCCCCCCCCCAAATGTACTTGTGTATCGGACATTTGACTGAAATAATAAACATGTGTCAGTGATGCTTGGCTTTTTAAGTAATGCCGGCGGAATAATACCATGAAGTGATGCATGCACCTCTGAAATCATCTATATATCTTTTTATTTCATGTCAATTAGGAGTTTCATACAATTACTCAATATTGCTTTTTGCTTTAAAAAAGTATGACTGAAACATACTGCTGTATGTAAATACAAATACACAATTATTTCAACTTTTTTTCTAAAATATTCCTTTTTAATATTACCTCTTAAAACCAGAACCTCTGTGACATCAAAACACATATGCATTGCCACCCAAGTGTCTTTAGACCAATCTATAACTAATTTATAGTTCAATAAATTCTAATTAATATATGAAGTCATTAATTCATGTCCCCCAAAGAATTTTTAATTGAATAACACGGTTTTCAGCCATGCAATTAATGTTAGACACATATGAAAGAAAATATATTAAATGTGAAATATTTTAAAATGAAAACATTTCGTTAAAATGTACAATTCTACATATGTCGCGACCTGAGTTGTGTTCGTTATATCGACGTGAATGTCAAAATCATGTTATGAATGAATATTCAAATGTTAAATAAACGCAATATTGTAACATCCTTTAACATTTGCGTTACGACAAATATTGTTTTATTTACGTTATAAAATATGTAATCCAAATAGCAATATCTGAAAGAAAATACGAATATTAGTATACTATACCAGCATATGAAAAAGATTTTTTTTGGGAGTGAATTTTTACAGGTAGCTTTCGCTAGGGGGCAGCAGCCGCGCGCAAAGCTTCATCTTAGGTCGCCCGAGTAAAGCGAGCAAATCGCGGATAATTCTCCAATGAGTTCACCTTCACGCAATTAAGTTTGAGTGCTGCGTCGCCTCTTCTTTTAAACAATCTCCTTCACAACAACCATGAACGGCTCGCTGTCCTCGAACACGGTGGACATAAAACTCAAGCGAGGGCCGGCAGGTAAAGATCATTTCATGGCAGCGGTGGTTAGCCCTAGCCGCTGCTCAGTTACGTGGCTAGTGGTGAAACCCATCGAGCTAGTGGCTAAGTAACTCACCAAGTTAACAAAAGACAAATGAATTAATTGCTGGCAGCGTTAGCAAAACATTCTTGCTGACGACTGGAGTCAAACCGATAGATTGTTGTGCCTCATCAATGCGTTTGTATGCTTGTGGACGCCTTTTTTTTAAATGTTTTTGCTCGGCCTGTCAGACTGAAAGTGAATCTGACTGTGCCTGCGCTGAACATGGTACCCAACTCAAGACATTCCGGTGCCTGTTTAAAACTTTCGACGAGGGCTGAAGACTTTGAAAAATAAAGTAATTGCCAAAAAGTGCAACTTTCAAGAGTTTGTTCAGTAATTAAAAGGACAATTAATTAAGCATCATGTATGGATGCATGTTTTTACTGATTGCAAAGGACTCTTTGACTTTAATAATTTGGTACTTACTAACTTAGACAAGTGCATAATCGTGAGACATTTTGATCGCATTTTGTTTTTAGTTTTCCCCCCTGAAAGGCGCAATAAAAACTGTAACACGAAGGAAAATGTTTCTTTGGAAATTGTGTTTTTCAGAATCGTAATTTGCAAACATCTCCTTTACAATGATCAATATTTTCGCCAATTTTCTGACATGTCACTGACCTAAGTATCATAATCTGTTTATGTATTTTTTGCACTGTCAATATTAAATAATGGTCAGTTTTGTCTTTTTAAAAAAAATAAAGGATGGAAATTTTAATCCGATTAATCAACACAAAATTCTGTTATCGAAAGGATCATTTGATGCATCCCTTGAAAATTGTTTTGAATAATGTAATTTTTGTTAGATTGTTTTTTTTTTTAAAGCAAATGGAAAAAACATGATTCACTTTCGAAATTATATTTGTGTTTCTGTCCGTGTGTCTGTGAGACGGGAGGGTACGTTACCTTGAGACCATTTCACCGAGCCCCAATGAAGACATTCCTGTCATTCCCTTCTTGTGCTCCCGTGATGTCTTTGCAGGCCTGGGCTTCAATATTGTGGGCGGCGTGGACCAGCAGTACGTCGTCAATGACTGCGGAATTTACGTGTCCAAAATTAAGGAGGATGGCGCCGCGGCGCTGGACGGGAGGCTTCAGGAGGGCGACCGGATCCTAGCGGTAAAAAAACAAAAAACAAACACCAACATACTTTTGAGCTTCACGCACAAATGTACATGCTACAGGGAAAAGTAACACATTCTGACCGACATTGTGGTTCACCTTTCGTGCGCTCGTTGTATCACAGGTTTTTAGATGTGGGTTTTTTTTTTGGGGGGTGGGGGGTGTTTCCAGTAGACAGTGCTGCCTTGAGATACAAGTTCAATTCGTTGCCTGACCACATCTCAAATCAAATGGGGGGTGGGGGGTCATTGTGTATGTAAATTCACAAAATGGTCTGACGTGATTGGACTAGGAAAGGAAATCTTTCAATCTCTTTTGACCCTGACATTAATTTATTTTTGGAGTGACTTTGGGTTCCTTTGCTTTTATTCCACCCCCTGTTGACATCAACCATATTTGCCGCTAAAACAACACAACGCTAGCTGCGTCCTAACAGTTTCATGGTGTCAGAGGTTTTACATGCAGAGATGGAGGCTGGAGCAGACTCTTTCTCTTTGCACTTTTTTCCACCAGGGTGATTTTTGTTTTGAGCGAGAGAGAGATGTGAAAAAACAATTCATTTTATCGTGCTTTATCTGTTTGAAAGTGCTCTATAAATACAGTTGAGTTGTTTATCTGTTTTCAATTTTTATTTATGAATTTAGAAAAAAATCACATTTGTTGAGCCTGATGCTTTATTTTTATTTATTCATTATTATTATTTTATTTTTTTTGGGGGGGGGGGGTTATATGTATAGATCAATGGTGTCAAGCTGGAGGAACAGACACACAGAGCTGCCGTGGATTTGTTCCGGACAGCGGGGGAGGACGTGGAGCTGCGTGTTCTGAAAAAGGTACGATGGAAATAAAGCATGACAAATAAATAAATAAATAATTGATTAATTAAATGCAAAACCCCCCTCAAAACAATCCACTTCTATGCTGCGTTAATGGTCCCTCCAATGTCCAAACACAATTTCTTGTGATCCTTCAATAATTTCTTAGTGTTATTTTAGTTTTGAATACCGCATTCCAGAATTTCATATTTACATCTATTTTCTCCTATTTGCAGTCGCCCCATCATATGAACGGATCCTCCGATTCCCAAGCCGATCCTGCGCTCTCAGCGCCTTATCTAGGGCTACTCGCTGTGCTAACGGGAGCCGCCGCTGCCCTCTTCGCATTCGTTTACATCCGTAACATCAGGAGACCGTTTTAACAATTCCATATCTTTTTTTTTTCAGGATTGAGCATGTTCCTTAAGGCCAAAGAAGGGAAGGGAAATTGAAAAAAAAAAAAAGTTTTGTTTTGTTTTTTTTCGATGAGCTAATGACACTTAAGCATTTCTCTTCGCAGAGATACATGCCATCGCGCTGCTTTGTGGGACGTCCCTTCGTAACATGGCCACCCTTAAGGGAAAAAAAAAGCGACTAAGAGACGCCTCGAGCGTCGCCGTCCTTTTTGTTTCGTCTCAACGTATTCCAGTCAGACTTGGCAGTGCCTTCTAATGCGGTTGCTTTTTTTTGTTGTTATTGTTGTTGCGCTTTATCGCCGTCAAATGTGCACATTTCTGGCCAGTCATCCACGCAATTAACACTACAGTATTCTGGTAAGCCATCAATCAATGTTGAACAATTGAGTCATGGTTCGTACCTTCAGGTTAAAATTAACTGCATGACTTGGCTGTGACTTTTCAGGGGCGCTGTAGATTCACCTTCAACTAGTTGACGTGTTAGAACAAAACACAACGTTCGGTATGATGACTTGAGACGTGACTTGACTTGAGACAACTAAGGTAATCCAAACAAAAATATTAAGCTTCAATAAGTATAAAATAAGAAAAATGTCGGGGGAAAATAAGCAGCTTTAATTTTAATGATTAATTGATCAATCGAGATTTTGGTGACTGTTCATCTCTACAAAATATATAAATAAACGCAGCATCATTTTTCCAAATGCTTCCTAATTTAATTCGATTATCGCAATTTGAAGCAGTAGAGGCTTTTAATGGCGTGCAGTACTTGGCCGTGACCTGCAGGGGTTCCACTGAGTCGCTCTCAATTTAGAAATGAACGCATAGGTTAAAATATACAAACTGACAAAAAGGTCAAATAAAAAAAAATGTAAAGTATAAATCACATCATCACATGCCAGAATCTAAATCATGCCCATGTAAAAAAAAACAAACCTAACTGACAATAGATGTCGCAAGATGGCATCAAAGCACTTTTCTCAATTGAACCTCCTTCGCTCATATCAACATAGTTCCTTGGCCACCGGATGGCATCAAAGAAGCGTTGATGTTAGGCGAGGCTTTTGGCTGCACACGAAAACAGTGAAGAGGTGTGATTTTCAGCCAATAACCAAGAATTGGTTCCTGGTAATAATCCGGCAATGACAAACCGCTAAAATGCGAAAATTGACTGTTATCGGGTCTTGTCGCACTGGTGATTCAAATTGGAGTGCGCTGCTTGGCTGCTATCTGAAGGCGTGCTTCTGACCAGTTAGATTGTGTTAAAGAACAATAGCTATTTTTTTTTGGGGGGGGGCATAAACGTCACATTTTATAGGTTAATTCAGTTATAAAAATGTGTTATTCTCCTTAGTACTTCAAGATTGATCAAAATATAAATTAAAACTTTTTTTTTAAGATTGTAATATTTGTCGGTCAACACTGCCACTTTTATACCGCAATATAGTTTGGTAGTCAAATAAACTATTTTCAAACCTCGCACACCGAATCAACAAGGTTTTTTTTTTGTTTGTTTGTTTTTTGGGCTGTTGGCACTATTCTTACCTGAAAATGGAACCACAGACACTACATAGTGTTGAATCAAGCCCGGTCTTTTAAAGTTGCCAAGTCGGTGTCCTGTGAATTCCAAGTCTTAATTCGAGATGCCGCCATTTTTGAAATCACATGACTTCTACATTCCCCATGACTGTGCAAAGAGGCGTGAGTAGCTCTGAAGAGATCAGGGGGGCGTTTTGGGGGATTTAAAGGTTTATTTTTGCACTAGCCACAATCATGGAGCATCTCCAATGGGAAAGAAAGTTGTGCGCGCGTGTTGCAAAGTTTCTAGTGTCTGTTGTCTTGTAAATACATTTCATGTCACTCTGCTGAGGATTGTGAATACTGTGCGCTGTGTATGCCAGAAGAGGAAATAAATGAGAAAAATTCAAGTGTTTTACATCACAGCAAGTGTTAATGCATGTAAAATGCTTTTGTGTGCACCCTTTGTACATGGTTGCCAGAATGCATATTTATGTTCTGTAATAAAATCAAATGTAAAGTAATTGAGGATCCCCTTCAGTACTAGGAGGGCCAGGTGTGCGGCAATTAAAGACTTTGTGGGCCACTTGGTTCTGGCTGCATAAATATGGTAAAAAAAAAAAGTCGGTCAGAACCCCTCCTCCACCCTGTCTATGGATGTCTGCCTGTGTGTAAGATACTGAGGCAGGCCTTGAACCTGTCTTGAGGCACAACTGTCCTGTGATCTTATACTGACAGGAACTAACAAAGTATTTTTTGTTTTGTTTGGTTTAATTGATATGAATATAAACCCTTATGAGCCACGAATATAAACCATTTGAGCGTTTGGGGTTTTTTTTGGAGGGGGGGGGGTTCAATCACACTGGCCATCAATTGCCCAATCCTGAAGTAGACTGTGAGCTAGAACACGAAAGCGAAGGAATAAACATTCAATATACATTTTACACAAAAATGGAGGAAGGAGACGTAAAAAAAAAACAATTTTGTTAATCCGCGGGTGCTGAACCGCGACAATGCGTGGTCGACAAGACCATCTGATGTTTCAAACGTGATTTCCAAGGCACGGAATGTGACGTCATGGAGTCGCTGCCGTCCGCGAGGCATAATGACGTCATTGTCCAGCCAGAAGCGGGAGGAGGCGGAGCCAGAGCCGCAGTGTTCAACCACACTGAGCGCACTAAACACCGACCACGTCGGAGGCAAATTTCAACCGATTATTTTCGTAGTCTTCATCATCATGTCGTAGCGGCGGGGCCTTTCCGGAGAACGCTGGTCGCGGGCCAGCCTCGGGAGGAGCGCCACGGCCGGACGGAGATGCTCATGGTCGAAGCTACGAGCATCCACCGTGGACGCGGACGCCCCTTCATCATCATCCTCATCATCATCCCCACCGTCACCATCAAAATGGACGCCCAGGACAACACGAGGAGGACGCTCAGGCCTTCATTATGAGCACTTTGGAGGCGGTTTATTGCGCTTGGATTTGAGCTTTCATTCCTTTCTGCCCCCGTGCAGTGACATTCTGACTTTGCGTGTGCGTGTGGATGCAGCGTGGCCCAGTGTGTGTGGAAGCGGAGGCGGTGGAGGAGGAGGAGGGTGTGGGCGTGCTGAGATCCACCGCACGCTCATCTTGGAGCCATGGCCAGTGAACCCGTCATCCTCAACGTGTATGACATGGTACGGGCCTTTCTCTTTTTTTTTTTTTTTAACATTTGTTGTCGTCTCTCGTTTATATTTGGTAATCTGACACCTGCTGCCCTCCCCTGCAGCCTTTCGCCACGGTCACTCGGTCCACGTCGAGAACAAGCTCTGTTTTGCGTGCATGCAATTGGTCTCTTTTTTTAGAAGTCTTTTTTTTTTTATTCTATAAATTGCATTTTTAGTGTGGCAATTTTAAACAAGTATTTATTTCGGTTTAAACTTCGTATTTCTGAATGCGTTGTAATGCAAAGCTAAATTGATTAAAAAAAAAAGATGAGTTCTACAGTGGTGCAATTTTGATTGTGCAGATCTCAAATGTCAAAATCAAATCAGGACTCTATTGTAAAAAATTAATAATATTATAAATATTCATTATCGTCACATTCCCTAAATAATAGCCGGTCATTTTTCTTTTTTTCAGAGAAGAATAACACCTGAACCAAATACGGATCTCGTTTATTAATTTGTTTATTTCAAGGGTAGAATTGAATGACTTGTTAATCTAGTCGATTTGAGCAGAGATGCATGAACATATTTTTTTTGTCAAAATAGGACTGGTCAATATTTTAAAAGGGTGACGATAAATGATATTAATATACTTTTGACCTTATCGGCTACACCTGGTAGCTAGCTGACATATACCATAATGTAGCACACTAAATTATAATAATGAATGACTACAAATAAATAAATCCGGAAAGTCTAGCGCAAGTATTACTTTTGTTGCATTTTCTGACGTGTTATTTAGTGTCGAAAGTTTGAGATCCACTGCGTGTAATACAAAAGTGAGGGAAAAGTGAACGGTTTAATTTTCGGGGCCGGCCCAGAGCTCCCGCAAGGAAACATGCTGCTGCCTGTTCCTGATCCATCAGGATCAGACAAAGGTGATGGCAGATACTTGTGAAGTAACAACTACGCTGCATCACGTCTTCAGTTATTGATTGCAGACAACTTGGGTGGCATGAACGCGACCTTCCGAGATGGACAGAGGCAAAGGGGAATGTCACAGGACGGGATTGGCATCTGATTGTCTGCCATAAGGCTGTGACAAAATAAAACATTCATGTTATATAGTAGTTTTGGATTTTTCCATTATAGTTTTATGAGTTTTTTTTGTTTCTTGTTTTCAGTTTTTATTACTGTTCGATTTATATAAATGCTCGGTCGATGGAACACAGGAGGAGGGCCTAATGGAGGGAGTGAGGGAAAAAAAAATTCTGCTTTGTCTTTTTACAAACAAATGAATATGTCCGAATGCTACTAAATTCATGACTATCCTCTTTCCCTGCAGTACTGGATAAATGAGTACACATCCAATCTCGGAATTGGAGTCTTCCACTCAGGAATCGAGATTTATGGCCGAGGTGAGATGCAGCTTTAAATTGGTTCATGTTACGTTAAATCACATGACAGGACAGGACAGGACATGACATGGGGTTACATTAAATCGCTCGACAGCACAAGACTGGAATGTATGTGAGGACAGGGCATGACTAGAAATCGCATGACAAAACGTGATGTCACAGGACATCACATTTCATCAGACAACGGGAGACAGGACATCACGTAAAACCACATTCATTCAATCACAGGACATCATATTAAATCACATGATACAGTGGTGCCTTCAGAAACAAGTTTGATTTGTGCAGTGAACATGCTTGTAACTTAAAACATTGCAAATCACCTTTCCCCTTTCAAGAGATGGAAATCACTTGACATTAGGTCCCAAGACAGGACAGTCGATGATTAGGTGCTGTCTAATTGTGACACTTTTTTGTGCACTAGAATTTGCATATGGAGGCCACCCGTACCCTTTCAGCGGCATTTTTGAAATCAACCCGGGCAATGCCGCCGAGCTGGGAGAGACCTTCAAATTCAAGTGAGGCTTCCAACGGTGTGCCACGTCGCTTTCCTTTCACTTTCGCTTTATTGACCAACTGATTGGAACGCGATTGTCAACAGGGAGGCCATCGTCTTGGGGACCACCGACTTCACGGAAGAGGACATGGACAAGATCATGGAGGAGCTTGGCAAGGAGTTCAAAGGCAACGCCTATCACCTCATGCACAAGAACTGCAACCACTTCTCCTCCTCGCTCTCTGAGGTCACTAGATTTTGTTCCGGATTGCCTAGGATGCACTGAGCCACCGCTGTTTTTTTGTCTTTAAAAGTCAGCGCTACAAAATGTTTAAATATCGTTACAGTGACTTACCATGTCTGTGTATCTGTCTTTGGGCACTAACAATGCCAAAAACAGATTTTATAATATTACCTGCTTAAATAACTGGAAATGTTCGTACTAGCAATGGAACAAACTAGGAATCGTGCCTGACGCTTACTTCCATTTTGATCTCCGAGCAGGTAATTATCTGAGAACGACACTTCCGCTAAAGTCCTCCGTTTTGCTTTTTCCAGCTGCTGTGCGGCCGCGAGATCCCGCGCTGGGTCAACCGTCTGGCCTATTTCAGCTCGTGCATCCCCTTCCTGCAGAGCTGCTTGCCCAAAGAGTGGCTGACGCCGGCCGCTTTGCAGAGCCACATCAGCTTGGGCCTTCACAAGGACGAGCTCCGCCGCCAGTCCAGCGACGACGATCCCGACTGCCCGTCGCCGCCCTCGTCGTCTAGGGCCGCTGGATCATCCTCTTCCTCCTCCTCGCACAGCTGCCGCCACACCAGGGTGTGAGGGACTGGTGGCGACTCACCTGTGGACTGTTGGACAATTGAGGACAGCCAAACGTGGTGTTGACCCCAAAAATGAGCTGGGAAGGACCTGCCCCCTACCTTAAATTCTTGAAAAACTCATCGTCTGAAGCCTTAGCCGCATGAAATTTGGTAGACATGCCGATTACAAAAAAAAAAAAGTCTCAAAAAGCCATGCCCTCAAACCCAGTTCCATCAACATAAAATTTACGAGATACAGTTTCCATCTTGCGTAGACCCACAAAAATGTCTCCAGAAGCCATGCCTAAAACCCCATGGGAAGCCTTTCATTTTGCTTTGAAACGGCCATTTTGGCTTGCAATATCCTCGTGAATCCGTTCTAAAAATTCCACTCCTAAAGCCATTTCACCTTCGCGGCATAAATTTTGGTCAACATGTCTGTCATGAGTACACCCACAAAAAAGTCTCAAGAAACAACACCAAAAAAACCACAGAGGATTTCTGCCATTTTTGGTAGAAGCATCTGCTCAATAGTAAACTCTTGATTTTTTTTTTGTCTCAGTTCAGCCCCTGAAGTCAAATTCTTTGTAACAGCATGAAATTTGATTGACATGTCTATCATCAGGAAACCCACATAATAGTTTCTAAATCCTATGCCCAAAAAGACAGAAGACGTATGTCATTTGGTTTTGAAATGGTCATTTTGGGGATCATCTCTATATTATACAGAGGCCCTCCGAAGATGAGATTTTGTCTGATTGCTAACAAATTTGAAGCATGTACACAAAACGGCACGAAAGTGCAAACATATGAGCCAGTGATTGTGGGCAGAGCATGGTGGCAAAGCTTCATGACAATTTCGATTTTCATTTCTATAAGCATTAACAGTTATCACAGCTTCTACTTAACATTGTAATTCAAGTTCAAGTCAACTTTATTGTCAAATGTGCTACATGTGCAACATACAGCACAGATGAAATTACTTGGATGAAAAGTTGGATTGACCATTGGCCAACACGTGCGCTTGTTTTCATTTGGATCAACTTAACTTGCATTAGCAGTTAGCTTGGCAGCTACTTAGCTATGCCATTTGTATTTAAAAGTCTTGAGCTGCAATGTTAATGATCGTATTCACCTTTTAGTTATTTTCCATCTTACGAGACATGAACACTTGTTTTACTTTGAACAAGTAGTTAGTTGAGCATACACTTAGCTGGGCCTTCTCTCATGTGTTGTTTTATGCTAAGCTAACTAGCCACTGCTGGTAACTTTGTCATACGCCGACGCTGTAATATTGTTGTGGTTGTAAACATGTTTACAGGTTGCAAAGCATTTAAAGGCAAAAAAGGGGACGGGGACTGGGGGGAAACAATATCTTTCGTTTTTGGGATAACTCACACTGATTTCTTCTCCATCGCTCCTGCTGAGGTGGTGGTGCGTTCAAGGACAGCTATTCTCTCAGGAAGGAACTCACTCGTTGTTGTGATTGGTTTGGACATTTCACCAAGTGTATTGTGTTGCAGCTGACACACACACACACACACACACACACACACACACACACACACACACACACACACACACACACACAAAACTCACAAAGAGTACAGTTGTTCATACTGTACAACACGATATGTCAGTTTCTTACAGAGTACGCTAGGACATATTTTTTTCTAGTGTCATCCGAAACCTTGTAATTTTTTTTTCTCAGCCCAAAACTTGACTTGTTAGTTCTAGAATAAAGAGACTAGTAATAATTGAGTGTTTCTCTTTTATTCCATCTTAAAGTACAGGCTATTTTGTCATTTGATGTAGTTACACTATTCCATATCTTTGTCTTTATAAGCCCAGGAAAACGTTTTTTTTTCTTATACCATTTTGTTCTGCTTAATTTAATTCTAAAGGTATGAAAAATGCAAAATGTGTGAATATAGTCATATTTTCGCCGGTGTTTCACCTTTGTCTATGCTGCTCTTGTGAATGCAAAGTTTCCCATTTCCGGGTTTGTTTCAGGTCAGCTTTTGGTTCTTAGTTGTGACGCGTTCCCGCAAAGACTGGAAGACTTGTTCATCGTTGTCTGTTGTCGAAGTAAATTTAGTTGATAAATGCTTATTCTTCACCAAAAAACCTGCTAATTTCACATTCTTGTACCGTTTGCTTCTACATGGATATACAGTAATTTACTGTTGCAAAACGAGATCCAGCACTGTATGGTCCATAGTTCAGCACCCATGGATTTGCATATACGCAGAAATATTGAATGTTGACCGGCGTTTTACTTTTTTTTTTTTTTTGAGGGGAGGGGTGATTTTTTTCCCCCAAAATGCTTTTCAATGGCATCACCTATACACGGATTTCCACTCTTTTTGAGCCGTTAAATAACTTTTATTTTCAAAAGTAAAAGATGGCTTCCGCTCCCGCTATCACTTTTCCGGTCATCCTCGTACCAAGAGCATCCAGTCGAATTGGTTCTCCCTTGTGGCTGCCGAGGTCAGAAGTGGCCCCACTGCACGCAGACTGACACAGTTACGTTCAGCTGGCTTGAACCAACCTACTTGCCTGCCCGACCGCAACTTCACGACACTCGGTACGTCCCACAGTTGATGTGAACTTTTGACCGTTTTCCAAATGGGTTGGAAAGAGTGAATAATCAACAAATTATATATGGAATTTTTAAACCTTGGGCTAACAAGGGTAGCCCTACACGGTGTGGGCAGAGGCACACTGATTAAAAAAATGAGATGCACGATCTTCAAACTGTGATTTTTATCTGCAGTCTCGTGTATGAATTATAAATCCGCCCCCCCCCAAAAAATCCTGGCCTGCTTGATCAATGTGACTCCTCACGAATGCTTGCAGACGTACTCGTATTTCAGAAAGAAGTTCTTAAATCTTTAAAATCATTAAAAATTGTCAGCTATTTTCGACAACCACAAAATTCCGTTCATTTTGATGGGTACAACAGACAAGTGTTCCAATCACATCTTTTATTTGTAAGGCACCAGACAAACTCCCTTACTGCTAAAAGCGCCATGCATTACTTCTTGTCAGTTAGCGTAGTACACTCGTGCTTCCTTAGCCTTTTCTTTAACATAGTCAGTTACACACATGGTTGTTGTTTTTTTTTTCCAATTATCTTTGCACAAAAGAGGATCAAATATTTACGAAGTGAGGAAACGACTTGCAGAACTCCAAAGAAAATGATGCGCACGCACACACGCAAATGTGCTATTTTCATGATCGATTAAAAAGCAGCTTTGAAACATACAAAAATGCTTTAAAAAATACATATATTGATATATTCATATGTATACAAATTGGCCCTTCACGGCGCACACGCACGCGGACACAAAACACACCACTTGCCTTGGAGAACATATGAAGACTACTATCATTAATGTTAAAGGAGCACACAGACGACACTTAAGTGCTTTTACTAAATAATAAAAAAATACAAATTGAAATAACAGAAAAATAAAATTTAAAATACAAAAAAAAGAACCCATAGACTGAAAAAATACATAAGTTTTATGGTTTTCCCAAAGTGTAGATTTTGCAATCGAAGCATTTCATTCGTTGCGACGACATAACAGGAGCCAATGACAATCTCTTACCGCCCTCTATTGGCCCAAAGTTGAAACACCCGTTTCACTTCCACAAAGGCGTCAGACAGCAAACCAGTTTGAGTTTCATTATTTTGCTGCTGAGTTGAATATGACAAGGAAAAAGTCACCATTTTACAATGAAAAAAAAAATTTAAAGAATCAAATTTCTATGAAGAAAATATGTCATTTTTTTCAATGTGTTCAGTTGTAATTTTGGTTGTCATTTTTAGTGCTCATTTTTAGTTGGTTTTATTTTACGTGAAAATTATAAATTAGAACATTTTTAATTGTCATCCAACTTTTTTAAAATCTCAAGTAGGCAAGAGCGAGTCGGGGGGGGGGGCTGCAGCGAGCAGGCAAACTGACAAAAAGGTGCAAAAAGATTTTTTTTTTTTTTTGACACACGCACTGTCTCAAACAAACGCACTCACTTGATCTCCCGTGCCCACACGAGCGTCCCCCCCTTCTTTTTCAGACAAATTTTGAATGGACTCAAATGCCAAATGGCTCGTTGGTTTGACTCTGTTAAGCGTGCCGTTAGAGGCGATCTGACTCCATTTTGATTTGTGCCGTTACAAGTGAAGGGGGAATGAAAGTAAAAAGAGTAACACTGACTCTCTTGCACTTTTTTTTCAGGGTTTTTTTCTCTTCTTTTTCTTTTTATATGCTTGACCATTATAAGCGCGACTATGTACACGTGATGTCGACTGAGAACAGTCTGCCACCGCCATTTTTCACATCCATGACCTGCGGGATCCCTAGTCGGACTTGTCGCCGTCCTCGGGCCTGGGCGGCGGCCTGTCGGCTTGGCCCTGGGCCTGGGCGGCGTCCCCGCGGGCCTTGTCTTCCTTGGCGGCTTGGGCCGCCTGGCCGTGCGAGTAGTTGGCCAGGATGGAGGACAGGGACAGCAGGCCCGAGCCGGACGAGGCCGCCGGCAGGCTGGGCGGAGTCAGGCCCAGAGGCAGAGGAGCCACCGGGAGAGCAAGGCCCTGGAGCTGCGACAAGTGTTGCACCTGCAGCTGTTGCTACACACACGCACACACACACACACACACACACGTGAAAGCATCAGGCATGACACATGGATGTAGAGTAGTACCTTAACGACTGATTCGTTCTGTTAGCAAGGCACGTGTCGACAAGCAACCATCTGCGCTTACAAACACACATCGGGACAATTTAGAGTGTTCTGTTAACCTGCCGTGCATGTTTTTGGAATGTGGGAGGAAACCGGGACAAAACCCATGTAGGAATGGGGGAGAACATGCAATCTTCACACAGGAAGAGCGGAGCCGGATTCAAACCCACATCCTCTGCCAGGTGAGGCGGACGTGGCTGACCAGTCCGACTACTGTGCCCATCATTAAAACCTAAGTTGTAAATTGACAATATATCAAATTTTCTTTTCGCTCTTCCACAGGAAGGAAGACCTAAAAATATTTTTGACATAATGAAA